TTCTACAAGCCATAAGAGTATCTGGTTAATTAAGTATAGGCTCCAGAATGCATACTTCTACTTAATACCACTTGATTCTCTATGCTCTGTTAAATAAACTGAGGCTTGATTTCACTATAAATAGATCTAAGTGCTGTGTGTTAAGCAGAGCAGTGATCTGAGGTGCAAGTAGTAAATTGAGGTGTACTGTTTCTTTGGAAGCAGTGAATCTGTGAATACTGTGAGCGTCCAGTGGACACTCCAGACGTTCAGAGGGCTTGAGGGTTGGAACGTGCCCATCACTAACCTGTGGAGTGATAGTAGGGCCTGCGAAACCTAGAGGGAAGTGCTTGTGTTGCCTGAGGACAGTGGAGTTGTGGAGCTGACCCATGGCAGACACAGTACAAGGCTTCCTTGTACTAAGGGCAGGTGGTAGCAAGGTACCTCACAGCCTTCGGTACCCCCAGGAAGCATCACAGTAGGCAAGTATTATACACAGGTTTACAGAGTGATAAAGTGAGGTACAGAAAGGTTAAATCAGTAGCAGAGCTGAGATTAGAACCCAGGGGTCCTGGATCCTGGTCTTCTGTGCTAACGTTACTCAGACTTCTTAAATGACCCTATGAACTTGGCATCTCTACTCCAGTGAAACTGTTTCACCTGGCAACACAGAATAGGAACCGATGGGTAGAAGAGTAAGCATTCAAGCAATTATCTAGGAGCATAAAATGTGATCGTTGAGAGCGTAAATGTCCAAACAAATGTTTGTCCTGAGTTAGCGTGTCTATGACTGAAAGGATCTATCATTAATACTGTGCTCTTGGCTAGAGTAACTGCTAAAAATAATTGCTTTTACACCTCCATAATTGTTTGGTCCTGCAGAATAGAGCTGAGTAGGAGGGGGGCTTCAGTATGGCATGTACCAACCCTTCTAGCAGAGTTCCACATGCAAACCAACTTTCTGATGAATGGATTGTCAGCTTATTAACCCACGTACTATGAATACAGACAGAAAGGATCCAGCGCCTCTAATGCCTGCCATCATGCATTTCCTAAACACAAAGAAAGAAAGATGCCTGTTCACAGACTGTAGGCACTCTGGCGGAAAACTCACAATCCATAACAGGTTTCAGAGTGGTAGCCATGTTAGTCTGTATCAGCAAAAACGAGAAGTCCTTGTGGCACCTTAGAGACTAACAAATTTATTTGGGCATAAGCTTTTGTGGCACGATGTGGGTTCTAGCCCACAAAAGCCTATGCCCTAATAAATTTGTTAATCCATGACAGCAATTCAAACACCAACAAACTGGTGACCACTTTCCCCCCCCCCCCAACAAAACAACCAATCAATAAATCATAAGTAAAACACCCCATCTCAATTCCCACAAAGCACTCAACTTCAATTGAAATCTCAAAGCCCACCAAACTCAGATTTCTCAGCCCTGCCCAGAACCTAATTAATAAAAAAGGGCTTTGCAACATGACCTGTAGAACATGAGCAAATTCCAAAGTTGAGCAGCCTTCTGGAGAATATCCTGTCACAGCTCCTTCTCTTCTAAATGGAAAGATGTGGAATATGCATCACCTGATCTCCATCCAGTGCCCCAAACAGCACTTATTTGGCATTGAAGAGAGTGAGTTTTGAACATATTCCTCCTCTCGTTATCTGGTTAAGAAACACCTTAGAATCAGAGTATTTCTAAACTTTAGGTAATATGCCGTGAATAAAAAAATACACTTTAAAATCTCTCTCAGCCTAGAGATGAAGGACAGATAAGAAAGGAGAGGAGAGGGCAAACACTGCTAGCTACAAAAAAAGGAAGCTGTCAGAACATTAACTAAAGAGGTAAAGGATTTAATATTTCATTAACTTTGGGCAAGTATTTTTAGCTATATAATAAACTGAATTACTTAAGGAAAAAGAAAATTGTGGGTTTGATGGAATTTTTTAATACAATGATTTGTGTGCGCATGACAGTATCTTACCTTTCTTTGGGTCATTGCAAGCCTGCAATACTTAGCCTACAGACTTGTACCTAACATTACACCATACACCAGGGGTTCTCAAACTGGGGATCGGGACCTCTCAGGGGGTTGCGAGGTTAATACGTGGGGGATTGCGGGCTGTCATCCTCCACCCCAAACCCCGCTTTTCCTTCAGCATTTATAATGGTGTTAAATATATTAAAAAGTGTTTTTAGTATATAAAGGGTGTCGCACTCAGAGGCTTGCTGTGTGAAAGGGGTCATCAGTACAAAAGTCTAAGAATCCCTGCCATACACGATGCAATACCCCAGGCAGGACAGACACCATATAACTTATTGCTAAAATCATATCTCATTGAGTAAGTGTTTCATTCGTCCACAAAATACATTCTTCATTTTTAAATTAAGTTGTTGAATTTGACAAGCTGTATCCACTGGTTTCTTATTCAATGTAATAATGACTCTTAAAAACAAACTCTGTATTTGTGGATAATCTAAACACTATACCCAGATGTACAGAATCCAACCTATGTATTATATATATTTTTTTAACATTAGCTTTAATAAAATTTTTACCATTCAGCCAATCTTTGCAGCAAATCAAAATCAGCTTGTCTTCTTTATTATATTCTAAACATACAAATAATTTTTTTAATTTCAAAAGCATTCAAATAACTTTACAATATTCTCTAGGCAGAAGATAAGTTATTCTGTGCACGTGTAATTGTAAGAAGGTAATAAAACAAATATTAGTGCAAATGTGTTCACTGAAAACACATATACTTTATGCCTGTTACCAAGTTGTGCAATACAATTACAACAACTTTGTCAGGGGCTGAGCAAGAAAAGCACTATCAACACAGGAGTTGTTTCTTATCCTATACGAGAATATATACAGGCAGTAATTAATATTTCATAGAAAATAATTATATGTCATGTGCCAGCAAAGTAGATGCAACTTTTTTACATCAGATTGTGAAACAGTCCCACTTCTGTACCACCATGGCATGACTGGGTAAAAAGACTGCCACTCATCCCCATTCGACAATATTCAGAATCTTCAAAGGTCATCATTTGGAACCAATGCTCTTGTTGATGATTAGCTTCTGTTAATGACAGGCAAACAATTTAATCAGACATAAAAAAAGAGGGTCGAGATACCCATGAAGAGAAAAAAAAAAGAAAATGCTTGCAGTCACCAGCTACCTGTACTAAGCAGACAATCAGATTCTCTAAAAGAAGATAAAGTGTTAGATTTTTTTAAAAAGCGACAAACCCGAAGTTCTTAGCAATAAAGCTTATAGAATAAAATAGTTTAGTTATAACAAATGAATAGGGACTAATAATAATATCTACATAGTCGTTTGCAGAATCACAGCAATTTGCAAACATTAAATGACATATCAACTTTAAATCATTAAATTTCAAAAATAAATTAAAAAGTAGTTTCAGGGACTGCACCTCCCCCTGAGCTCTTTGCCAATTTTTCTAGATTTACAATTACATTTTCTTACGTTTAAAAAGAATACTCTCCCCCATTGTTTTGAGAAAGTTACTTTCCCCTTTTGTTTATGTCGTTCTAAGGGACCAGTCCTGCAAATACTTATGCACCTGAATAAATTGTTTTAAAATTTATCCAGTTCATCTGCATATTTGTTTGGACTCTTGATCCTACATTGTGATCCACAAACGGAGTCTGCTATTAGAAAAACTGATCACAATGCAGGACTAGTGACTAACTGACTACCCAGAGGAAACAGTGCAAGTGACTGTACACAAAGTGTTGTGCATTGCACAGAGTAAATAAACTGAAAAGAGAGAATATTTGTTCTGTCAATTTAGGTGTTACTTATAACAACATCGGGTAAAAAAAAGTTCAGACATAAGTATGATTTTTAAGTTATTGGTGTCTCTTTAATGAAGTAGGTCCCGATCTTACAAGTAACTGCACACAAGAAGACCTCTGACTTAAAGTCAATAAGACTCTGCACAGGTACAGAGGTACAGCTGCACACAATAACTTGCAGGATTGAGAATTTAAGCCTCATAACTCCACTGTGAAATAGATAGATAAATACTGTTTCCCCATTTTATAGATTGTGAAACTGAGAAAAACAGTTTACTGGCAAAAGTTTTAAATAAATGATCACTAATTTTGGGTACCCATCCTGAGATATTTAGGGCCTGAACAATAAAAATCAGGCCCCTGGGTTTCTCAAATTGGACACCCAAATTTTAAGGCTGCAGCATTTGAAACAAATGCAGAATTCCTAACTGGGAGAAGAGAGAGCTGCTCACAGAAAAACACAATAAGTGCATGTACATGTTACTAGTCAGCATTGTAAATACTTATGCACCTGAATAAATTTATTTGTGCATGTCCAATAATCTGATTTTGCCATTACCTGATTGAAAGAACAGGTCTAGGCATCGTAACCTTGGGATTGTAGCTACACCCAGCTACCGGGGCTATTGAAAAAAATTGAACCACGCCTCTCCTCCTGAGTTTCTGAAGGTATTTATATCTATATATGTTTCAGGCTGCAACACATCAAGAGAAAGGGCGTCCCGTGCACTCAAACAGCTTTAGAGCTTTTCTTTACGGTGGAACCTTTGCTGTGCTATGTAGTTGGTGTCCTGATCTGCACCCCCAGCCCAGCCGTGTTCTGATTGCAACAGCAGGGGACACAGGTGGCCGCATTCCTTGCTAAGCGCTTGCATTTCTAGGACGTCTAGTTCTTTCAGCGCTTCGCTGCCTGGTGCCTTTTAGGCCCTCGAGGACTATGAGCTCAATGGCCCTCTTCCTGCAGCAGAAAACGCACCGGCCCAGTCCCCTGGGAGATGTAGTTTTCTCTTCCACCCTGAAAGCCTCCTTACCCGACAGTGCCTATGCCTGCGAACGCGGCAGCTCAGCAGAGCCAGGCAGTTCCCAGCCTACAGCCCCCCAGCGCTAGCCACGCGTTGCCCATCCGGCAGGGACAAGACTGGGCACTGGGCAGAGCCTACTGGGTGGGGTGGGGAAGACTACAAGCCCCATGATGCAAGCGGCCGTGCGCGCCGGCGCAGACGGGCGCGCCCTGGAGTAGGGGTGGGGAGCGCGGCGGAGAGCAGCGCCCGGACGGGCACTGCCGAGTGCGTTAACCTAGGAGCGACCATGCCCCGGGACAACATGGCCTCCCTGATCCAGCGGGTGGCCAAACAGGCCCGCATCACCTTCCGGGGCCCGGCGCCGGGGCCGAGCTTCGGTGAGAACCTGCACCGGCTGCAGCAGCTGCTGAACGAGGTGCGGGCCGAGGACCTGCACCTCGTCCCGCGGGGCCCGGCGGCCGTGCCGGGGGCGGGCTGCTCGCGAGCCGGGGCCGGGGCCGGAGCGGTGCCGCCGGTGAGCTACATGCACATCTGCGAGACGGAGAGCTTCAGCATGGGCGTGTTCCTGCTGCGGAGTGGGGCCTGCATCCCGTTGCACGACCACCCGGGCATGAACGGCATGCTCAAGGTGCTCTACGGCAGCCTGCGCATTGCCTGCCTGGACCCGCTGCCCCCCGCCGCGCCGCCCGGCGCCCGCCGCCGCGCCCTGCTCCGCTCGCGCCAGCTCTGCACGCCGGCCTCGCCGCCCTGCCTGCTCTCGCCGCACACCGACAACCTGCACCAGATCGACGCCGTGGACGGGCCGGCCGCCTTCCTCGACATCCTGGCGCCCCCCTACGACCCTGAGAACGGCCGGGACTGCCACTACTACCGCCTGCTGGAGGCGTCCGCCGGCCCCGCTGCCGATCCCCACGCCTTGCCCCGGGAGGTGTGGCTGGTGGAGACCCCGCAGGCGGCGGATTTCTGGTGTGGCGGAGAGCCCTACCCCGGGCCCAAGGTCTCCCCTTGAAGCCGGCGCGGCCCTCTCACGGTGAGGCTGCGCCAGAGCCCTCTGAGGACGGACCGCTCCCCCCTCCCTCGACTACTTCTTCCCCGGTAGGGATCGTGTGGGGCCGCTGGAATAGGGGGCCCCTCCTCCTCCTTCTCCTCCTCCAGCAGGAGGTCGAAGAGCCGACAGCAGCGGGACGGGAGGATCTGGCTTGTGCCGTGGCTCACTCGAGATGTCGCAGCGGCTGCACTCGCTGTACAAAAGCCATAGCCACGATTCCCTTCCCAGCCGCCTTTGAAGTAATGTTAGTCACTACAGCAGGCCTATCTCCTAGTCCGGGGGTGCGGAAAGCCACTCCCCAGCCTCCCTGGGGCAGTTGGATGCGTTGGGAGAGTGTATGTGTGCATGTGTTGGGCTATCATTTTCTCAGTTCAGCTCATCAGTTCTAAGAATGAAGCATCCAGCTGCTGGGGCCATAGGCTGCACTCTTCTAGGGTACTGTTTCTCTACCAATGGATAATTGCAGTAGAAACAACTTTTTATGCACAGACCATGCCCCAGAGGAGCTGATTGCCACTAAACTAAGGGTGAACAAATCTTGTGTGTTTCTGCCAATGGCCTACACAGGAGAGCAGTTTCTGGGGCAGATTATGGTACCATTTCCCTGTCCAAATCATCAGAAAGACACCAGCCAATTAACTCACACAGGAAACCCAAATCATAACCCTGGGTGATTTGGTGTGCTTGATCAAAGCAGTTATACAAACTTAGCTGCTTAATGGTGGCTGAGCATCTCCTACTCCTGACTAACGAGAATAGCAATATCCAGCCAGAACTACTGCTGTTAATGACATAGACTGTATTTGCACGAAAGCTACAAAACTAAAACCTCTTTGTGCTTACTGTCAAGCTTTTTGAGTGGAGGGCACTAAACGACCCAGTGGATTTTTTTTCTCCTTTTGACTGATGTGAAGACTTGCAAAAGTAGTACTGTTTAAACTTCCACACAACAGAATGTTAAAGTAAATATCAGTATTTTGTCTAACCACTTAAGAAACCCCTCTTTCATCCCCCCTCCTTCCTAAAGTTAAGAGAATAAATGCAATAAGAAACTTCACTCTTCTATAAGGCATGTTTGTAAGTGATCTGAAAACTCAAAGGTGGTATTTCCAGCCTGTCTAGTCCCACTGACAGTGACTCCTCAAATGCAGCTTCCCTACTTTGTGGGTAGGAATAGAGAGTTTATCCCCACAACCCAAGGTAATAAACAAATGGGGAATCTTCTGTGTTTGTTGGGGACTGTCTCTGAAATGAGCATCAAGAAGATCTATATGGAACTAGCAAGACACTGAAAACTCTTGGGCCAGGAAATGCTACTAGAATTAACACTAGCCATTTCTAAGGTTACAGTTAATTATAAATTAAGGTTTGTCACATTTTAAAGGGACATTGTCAGATAAACTACTTTAAACATTCCTTAAGTTACATAAAACATAAGATTAAAACTGAAAACTTGTAAAATTCTTTGCTATTTATGTTTGTACATTTCTTTGATTAATGAAAATAGAACAGCTTCTAATCAATTTCACTTTAAAGCGCTCATGCAGCCCTGTGTTAGGTGGAAACACTACACAAAGTTGTTGTTTTTTTAAACTTCATTGCTTTTTAAATGTTTTGTGGGAATTCTTCTAGTGGTCTTAGAGCTGTATATAAACACAATCCTTTAAATTTGGGACCAGATTTGACCTGAGGACATCCCTTGAAAGTGAGGCCTACATTTTGATACATAACAGAACATTACAGGCTTTATAAGCCTTGTGTTTTCTCTCTTTATAAAGATTGCTTTTTCATAAGGCTTTTCATAAACATATGTAAAGGAAACAGTGAATTTTGCTTTGCTATGGTGTAAGCAGTTTTGAGGTTTAGTTTGCCTGTGATAGAGAGTATGACCTTTCTAACAATGGAGATACTTTTTCTATTAGTGAAATATTCTGTTTATACTACAGGGAAAGATTTTATGTGCCTGCATATCTTAATACATACTTTCTACCAGAGACCCAAACTTGGGTAGCCTTGACTTTCCTAGTCTCGTAGTAGTGACTTGAACAGAAAAAATATTGACTTAACCCCTTCATAATTGATATACGAACCTGTTCTGGAAGTTTTCCCTTCACTATTTTTTCTTTGCTTTGTGCATTTTAAAAGCAGGTTTGTTTTTCCTGTATAGTTGCTTATGTATGAGTTTTAAAATAATCCTTTTGTGGCTGTGTATTTAACAATACTTCAAGGAGCTTGTTCTTGCCTGCAAAAGATTGGATATGAAATGCACTGGAACACACACTACATTTTCAAATCTGTTTTCTGAAAAATGGAAGATGTTATTTCATGCAGTTTTCATTTATTTTTTGGCACTTCAAAGTGCCTGATTTCTACAGCTGCCATACTTGCTTCTCCTGGAATTCCATTGCAGCTCAGCTTTAAATAATAAATATGCAGTGAGATCACATGTTCTCTTATATTTAGGGGTAATGCAGTTCTTCGGTATATTGTAATATGAGTCTAATTCTCTGTTCTGTAACACTAATGAAGACCTTTTTTTCAGAATTCCTTATGGAAAACAGCGTGTAGGGTGCAAGCAGCTCTACTGGAAATACAAACTGCTCCAAAGAGAATTTTTATCTAACCTGTTTTAGTCTCTCTTGTCTTTCTGCTCTCTCTTTTTGCTGTCAGTTTTACACCATATGTAAAAACTAGTCATGATGTTTAATGGGATGTGACTTTAATGCATCTTTAATGGTAGTGATCCCTTACCTTGCGTGATTGTTGCCAGATCATCATAGCAGAAGCTTTATTAAAGTGGAGCTAAAAGGACCAGTATTAAAACAAGTCCTAGTGCCAGGAAGAAACAAACAACTAAGATGCATTAAAGAAAAGCCTTTTTGTTTAACAGGTTTTGCAACCTTCATATACTTAGTAATTAGAATTTACTTCAAATGCTCTTACTAACTTTAAACGGAAGGCTCAAGTCTGTATTGCTGTTCTTTCTCACTGCAGCGTGGGTATTGTAATTTTGCAGTTATGAAAACACTGCTGTTGATGATGAACTATAGAATAAATACAGGATATCTCACAGTTGGCCTATGATTATTTTCCCTTGCAAGTGTAAAAGTCTTATGAACCCACCTGGGTGAAAATAATATATATTTTTTCTTTTGCAGTCACAAAGGTCTGTTGTGAATTACTTTTAAATTAATTCATGTATAGTTTATACATCAGAATGAGTCTTTCCTGTTATGTCAGTGAAAATGCCAGGGCACTGTGACATTAATCTAGCTGTATCTATGGCTTCCTTTCATAAACTTTCTACGCTCCAAATCTAGTCAAAGTGCTGTCTAGTCTCAATATTTTGACATTTGAGGACAGGTGTAAATCTGAGTAAGAATGTAGTGTCAGTTGTTTTAAAGTTTCTGTTGTAGCCACATTGATCATCTGTAGTTTTTCTCAAATCAACCTATTTATTATGCATCCTTTTTCTGTCAGGTTTATGCCTCTTTTCTTCTTTAAGTAGGAATGTAATCTTTTAACATGTTAAATTGTTCTGACTCAAGAGTATATAATGCACTAATACAACTGCAGTTAGATCTGTGGTATATTTTGGACAAACTAGCCATTGCAGAGCTGCAGTCATAGTAGGAAAGCTGCCCTGCCCTGCCCATGAATCAGTGGGGCTTTGGAACTTTAGCACATTGAAAGAACCAGATCACTGACTATCTGTAATACAGTGAGCTACTGATGCTAAACAAGAAAGCTTTGTTGCATTCAACATCCATACAGGTCTTGGAGCTCCTATGTTAAATCAGTCATTAAACATTCCACTGTCTTTTGGAAACCACCTCTATATGGTATGAGATAGCAATGCTGAAGTATACTGAAAGCCATGGTGCAATGAAAAATGAATTCCCTCGAGTACCTATGATCTAGTACCTATTAATGCTGGCAGCTATGTTTTCTCACAGCTGTGTAGTTGTTGTTGGCTATTAGCAAATAGAGACCTGATTGATTTTGTTCAGCTTTGACTAATTACAAACTTATTTCTTGTTCAGTTTCAAGTCACACACAATAAAAAGGTCCTGGTCTTTCAGGTGCGTGGTGTGAGCTGCTAAGGAAAAGATCAATCTCAGGAAAAAAGGAAACAGCTTTCAATGTTCAACTCTGTTCTAGGGGAGATTGTCAGCCTTTTTACTCTAGGATGCGTTGAGCAGTTTACAGTGCCAAAAAGCTGCACTGAGCTGAAAGTTGCATACAGCTGTCTTGTGGTAGAGCCCTTTAAGGAAGGTTTTTAAAAAAACCAATTATATCTATTCTGTTACCCACCCACCCCTTGAATTATTGGAGTGTAAAGCAATTAGTGGTCCTGTTTCTTCCCACCCATGCTTTAAACTTTTAATATACTTCAGGCAAATAAGTGAAGTTTGGAAATGGCAGAAAACACATTATAGCTATGCCTACCAATCATGTTAACTTTTGCAGAACTACTGCAGCTTTTACAAATCTACATCAGAAATTACATAGCAGCAAAACATTTCATATAAAGACAGGCTTTGTGTATTATGCATGTTACTTTAGTTTCTTGTTCACCTGAACCCAGTGCAGGTAGCGTACCCAGTTCAGTACTTCCCACTGTGGCTAACTCCCCTATAAAATTAATGAGGGGTTTGCCAGTGTAAAGAGCTGAATTAGGACCTCATAGTGTATGCCAAAGGAGCTTGGTTCTAACTAAGTATCTACCCAACCTATGGAGGTATTCACACAGAACCTGGGCTTAGGGAAATTAAAGATGGCTAAAGTAAATGAGACATGTGGATAGTCAGCATCTCTTCAGATCAGCCTCAACAATCATATAGTATAATCTAGCATATCTGAATAATGAAAGAAGAAAAACTACATAGTAACTTTAAATGTTATGTGATTTTCCTTCTGCAACGGTCCACATCAAGATTTTCGCTATCATACACATACAGCTAAGAATTACTTTCAGGAGCAGTTTGCTGCCTCTGACAGTAAAAGGCTCAATTCTGATTGAACAATATCAGCTTGTTTTGAAATTTGAGTCACCTGATTTAATTAAAATAAGTACTAGATATGTTTTCAGGTAATCTAAAGAAAGCACATACACACTTGTCTATAATATATTATCAGCTATTTCACAAGAAGGGGTGTACACAGTGAACGTGCAAACAAGCTGTACAGCATGAAAGCGTGCCAGATTTTCTGTACAATTGACAAAGTAATTCCTGAACCCAGGAAGAAACTCCAGTAGTGAGTGAGATGTATTCACAGACAGGTCAGGTGAGCAATGTTGTTGCTACAGCTGGTAAAGCTTTTACCTTTAACTTTTGTTTTTAGGCTTGTTGGGAAGTTGTGTGAGTCTTTGGCAATTATTTGAGTAAATACTGGGGAGAGCCATCACATTTCTTTGATTCTGTAGCCACAATCTACCCAGCAGTATGGCAAGAGAATTTAGGGAACACTTAGGTGACCATTGGATAGGGACTTGCAGGTTGGCTGTGTTTGGTGAACATAGCCCACAGATGGACTGCCAGTGACGGGTGCCACAAACCCATCGAAACAGGTGATCTCTAAGCCATCACTGTCTATAAGCTCTGCCCTGGTGCAATTCCACTTTCAATGGCGTTATACCCAGGGTGAACTTGGCAAGTGGTTAACAGTTGTACTTACAGCTAATCTTTGCAGGCCTGTCATAGCGGCTAATATCAGAGCACTTTGTTCTAAACAAATGCTACTCAATTGCGGCACTTGTTTGTGGAAACTGAAAGCTCTTTGCACCGTGACCGCTCTTGAGCACTTTCCACAAAGCCGCACACATCTTGACTCGTATCTCAGCTCTGAGACTAGCTTTCTCCGAGTGGGCACTAAGATGATGGTATTTATTTTCCAGAGCCCACTTTGGGAGTTTTAATTAGCCTGCTTTAAATCACGGAACAATAATGAGTCAAGATACAGTTCACCGGTTTAGATTAGCATTTCTATTTATTCCTAGGGGAAGTCCCCACCGCTCTACCAGTTGCTTGTTTGTACACTGGGGACGGGGGAGTGTTTGCATTTCCGTAGGGGGTAGTTTGCACAGTGCAAAAGAAAATAAAAAAAGGGGGGTGCTGGTGAGTCTCCCCAATCGGAAATAGCGTCTATTATTTGAACCGACTCCAGGAAACTCACAATCCGTACAAAGTGTACGTACCCAAACCACACGGCCCGTGCTCTTTTGGAGACGGAAGGCTACAGACAGGGTGAAATCCTGGCTTAATTGAAATCATTGGGTGGGGAAGTGGGGTGTCATTAGCTTCAATTGGGCCACTATTTCACTCAAAATCTAAAATACAGATGAGTGATTGATGTATTTTACAGTAGAACTGTACTGTGAGTCACCTAAAATAAATGTTATATACCTATTGGAGGTGACTAACCAGTGCCTTGGTCTGTATAAACCTAAAGAAACAGTTTTCAACTTAGCATCATTAAGATATTTGTCTCCTTTTATAAACGAGTTAAGCACCGAACCTATTGTTGAAAAAGTATTTATTTACAGAATACTCATAAAGAAACCATCTCTCCTTTGAGTTCTGGTTAGTGGTTGTGTATTATTAGACTATACCATTTCTATTTCAGCTATTGTTCCGAGCGGACAATTGATGTGCCAACTCTAGCAAGATTATTTACATCCTCATCTGAAATCTGACTACAAATGTAACACTTTTAAGTCACAAAAACAGTGCGTACAAAAATATAGTTTCTAAAAAATACAAATATTAATGGGCAGAAATGTACAGCCATACTAAGATCAGGGACTGAACACGTTTCTGTCGTAATTAATAAGGCAACCCATTTACATGCAGACACTGAAACACTGTCTACATCACACAAGGCACCAAGGACACTTCAACACGTTTGCATGCATCCTAACAGCAGAGAATATACGTACATCCCACCTTCAATAAATTAACTTCTCTGACGCTCATTTTGATAGATCACATAAATGCTTTGCCTCCCCCCTTCCCCAAAGGCTGAGAACTCAACAGTGCACATCAAAAAATACACAAAATCGGAGTGAATATACGCTGAAAAATAGCCATTTAAAACTCTGGAAACCACCTGTCCCTTGTCCCGTCCCATCAGATTGCACTTCTGTGCTCCAAGTTAGTTGCACTGATATTGCTGAAAGGATTTACATTTACACGCAACCACTTGGATTCCTAGTCAAGGGCCCCAGAGCGTGTGCCCGTCCCCGCTTCCTCCTCACGGCACATCAGCCCCAAGGCAGTGAACGAAGCTATAAAGTGCACAGCGGTTCAGCCCGCCGCCAGCCGAGCATACACGGTCCCCCCAGTGCTGGCCAGGCCGCGCTCTGCAGAGTCAGTCCCCAGCCCCTCTGCGGCTGGATCCAGCCCCTCTCCGGCGGCCGGGGCGGGAGGTGTGAGGGCGGGCCGGGCCGGGCAGCGCTCGGCGCTACGCCGTGGCGCCCGGGGAGCAGGCGATAGTGCGCGCGCAGGGGGGCTGCCTCAGGGCGTCCTGGTCCTGGAGGCGCAGGCAGCCAGGCTCCCCGAGCCGACGGCGCTGCTGCTGCTGCTGCACACGGCGCCTGGCGGGGGCGCGGCCGGGGCGCTGGTCCCGCTGGAGGAGGAGGGGGCGGCAGCGCCCTTCCTCTCCTTCTGGCGCAGGTGGATCTTGGTGTGGCGCTTTCTCTCGTCGCTGCGGGCGAACTTCCGGCCGCAGAAGTCGCAGGCGAAGGGCTTCTCGCCCGTGTGCGTGCGGATGTGGGTGGTGAGGTGGTCGCTGCGGCTGAAGTTGCGCATGCAGATGCGGCACTGGAAGGGCTTGTGGCCGGTGTGGATGCGGATGTGCCGCGTTAGCTCGTCCGAGCGGGAGAAGCGGCGGTCGCAGCCCTCTGCCGGGCACGGGTAGGGCCGCTCGTGCACCGGCGTCTTGCTGGGCCGGTTCGGGTACTTGCGGGGCCGCAGGATGGGCCGCAGGGGCAAGTTGTGCGGGCTGTAGGCGCTGGCGGGCAGCCGGCCGCCTTCCCCGCTTCCCCCTGCTGCCCCGGCCCCCGGCCCGCC